TTTAGCTTGTTCTTTTGCTTTGCCTCGTTATGTAATCGCAGGCAAAGAGATAGCACCTTGCTTGTTTTAAAGATCTGATTTGATGCTTGTTCTGCTTCACTTCTAAGGATATGGGGTTCTGAATTTCAGTTCAGGAGGCAATCTGACTTGTGAAATGGACCTTTATGGTCCGATTCTTCATGCTTGCAGTAATTCCAGAGGGAGGAGGAGCCAAGTGTTGATCGGAGATGAATGCCCCTGACCGCTATGAGCGCTTCGTCGTGCCAGAGGGCACGAAGAAGTGAGTCTACTCTACCTCCACACCTTTTCGCAACATTTTTCTAGAAAATACTTCAAATCACTTAAAGATTATGGATCTAATCCTTACTATTATGTAATGCAGGGTATCATTTGAAAAGGATACAAAGATCATGAATGCTGCATCTTTCACTATTGAACGTGAGGACCACACCATCGGCAACATCCTCCGCATGTGAGTGGAGAAAACTGTGTGCCGTTTTGTCCTTGGTTATGTTCATCAGTTCATACCTTCTAATTTTCTTCTATATCTATGAGATTCTGCAGGCAGCTGCACAGGGACCCAAATGTTCACTTTGCTGGCTATAAGCTCCCTCATCCCCTTCAGTACAAGATCATTGTTAGGGTAGGGTGCATATTTATGTTTGTTCTGTTCCTTCGTTGGATTGGAGTTTGCTAGTCTCATCTCTCATGTTTTGGTTTTATTATGTTGCTAGATCCATACTGCAAGCCAATCCTCCCCAACTCAGGCATATACCCAGGCAATCAATGATCTAGACAAGGAGCTTGAGAACCTGAAGCAAGCTTTTGAGGTCTGTTTCTTGTGCATAGCTCAATAGTTGGTTATTTCTGATGGCCTATGGTGTGCCTTAGTCCAATATGACATTGTATAGTGTGGGCCTGTATAAAAGCTAATGCCTTCTGCTATTAAATTTGCATTTTCATGGCCAGTTCTTTGATAGCTTGATTTGAGATTTGTGGATTGAGTTAGTTTATGTTGATTTTTACACAACAAAGTTGACGATATGAGCATACTTTATTTTTCATGCTGTTGTACTGAGATAACTGTGATATATGCTGCCATGTAATGTTTGTTTTGATGTTTGGTACAGGCCAATACATTTGAGTAGGGTTAGTACAGCATAATTTGTTTTATTGCACTTTCTTTGAAATAATGCCCAAGCAAATGTGTTGCTTTTAGTTTCTACTTTCTCTCATCAAATCAGTAGTCTTGGAAGCAAAACACAAATTAAATAGTGCAAATATCTCCCAACCAACTACTCCTTGGAAGGAAGGAAAACTAAATATAGCCGAATGACATATTCTTATTTCATAGATACTGTTAATTTTATAATCCGTCACAAGTCCCTATTGATCTTTAATGTTTTTTGGCATTGATTTAACTGTTTACTGTAGCTTCTAGACATGGAACAACCATTCAGAAATAAGTACACATGTTTTGGGCGAATAATGCTCCTTTACACTAAGCTTCCTATACAACATCATGCTGTTTTCATGTGCATCGTTCTTTAGGCCGTCAATTTACTTGCTACGTACACTGCCACTAAGGATAAAATTAACCTGTCTGAAAGTTGAACCTTACAGAATATGAAACTAAGGTTGCGGGTTTTCAAATTCCCTGAATACTTTGGTTGCAATTGTCTTGCTCCAAGCTAACCTCTTGATCACACAACAATCGACAGCATGTACTTTGTTCTTTGCTGTGTAATAACACAAACAGCAGTCATGACTTAGACAAGTCAGAATTATTGAAAATTGCTTCTGTAAAAGGTTACAAATTCTTTCATTGCCAGTACTATATTTTCTTCTTTTGTAATGAGAACAATAGGCCACCTTCTAAGTCTCTTGAATAATTTCAAGTATTTGTTATGGCTGAAGCTGTATCTTTAGTTCGCACATGCGGTAGAACCTTTTATGCTGCTCCCTGGGGGTACATCGTCCTTTCCATAAATATTAGTAGTATCATCTTTAGTTTCCCAGGTTGCTTCACCTTTTCTAACTTAGTGTTTTGCTAAGTAGAGACAAATTTGTCAGTTTGCGCGCGATTGCACTACCTTCCAGTTTGTTTTTGATGGTGGTATAAAACAAGGAATAGTACATATACTGATGGAAACTTTCTGAAATTACTGTTAGTTTTGTAGAACCGTGTCATTCTGAAGGATTTGAATCTGGAAAAATGTCTGAGTTGAGTACTTTAATAGTCTCTGACATGGCCATTCCGTTTTCGATCCAAACAGTTGTCACTTTTGGAGGAGATTTTTCTTTCAAAATATATGATGGCTGCTAAATAAGGGCAACAATGGCCAGTGTATTTATTCGGTAGTGATGACTGATGACTTCATGTTGTGCGGCTCGAGAAGGGTATATTTCTATGTTAGGGGACACTTGAGGATAGTAGGCTCGATGTGATTTGCTCCTTTTGTTTGTATCTTCAGCAAAGTTTTCATCGTTAGTGCACTATATATGTTTGCACTGACAAGCAAAACTTTATATGTTATAAATCTTTCTTATCCGACTTGTCAGCCACTTTTAACACAGAATAAGGCCCACATATAATTGAATTGCCTATAGGACTGCCTAATTCAATTGCACAGGGTGTTCTGCTGCTGTAGTTCATTCCTGGTACGCTTTTTCTTTGTGAAGGGAAGCATGGGTAGAACCTTCATATGGGATGCCTCCATTTTCGTTGGATTTGGATTTAGAAATTCCTTGCCTTGCCAACAAGAGGAGTTAAGATGTTAGTTAAAATATGATGAATTGCCTGACATCTCTTGGGTTTCTTGTTAGCTATAGTAAACTACCAGAGTTATACTAGTAAACTACCAGTGCCAGTATTCTGATGCTCGTTACGACAGTGTCAGCCATCCTCCAAATTGATCTCCTGGATATGTTCCACTTCATTTAATTTCTGTGGATGCATATGAACACATTACGAGATATATATGCCACTGATCTTTTGAGCTTTGTGTTTCCAGGATGAGAAGACCCGATTCGAGGAAAGGATGAAGCAGGGCTACTAGGCCAAGGGTGTTCTGGATGCTGACGTGAAACCTTCCATGCTACTCCCTCCGTTCCAAAATAGATGACGCAACTTTATACTAACTTTAGTACAAAGTTAATACAAAGTTGAGTCATCTATTTTGGAACGGAGGGAGTGGTAGTTATATCGAACTGCGGTAGAAAAAAAATTACTCAAGGATTTTAGATGGTCCTCTGAACTCGTAGAACCTCTTCATGTGCGGATTGCGTATGATTGCACGGATGTTAAACATGTGTTGGCACTTGATAAGCCTGCTAGTTGAGTTGCTCGCCCTTGACAGGTTACGTAGAAGGCACGGACCAGTTTGAAGCGACACCTTGGATCATTTCGTACCGAGTGAATCTTATGCACCTCGCCGCAGCCGTCGGCGGCGCGACCATGCTCTCCAATTTGGCCTTCGCCTCCATGTCGCCGCCCTAGATTTGCCCCATCTTGGCCGGTAGCCGTCGCGCGGGAGCTGTCTGCGAAGAAGCAGCGGACCGCCAAGTCACGCAGTGGAGGCGTGAAGCGGCAGATGGCGGGGGCGCAACCCGGCGGCGAACCACCGCCGGCCAAAATTTCGAAGTCCGACGCGTCTGTGGTGGGTGATTGGCTGCTGGCGGCGGCCGTGACTTCCTCCTCCGGTCAAAGAGGCCCCCCTCCACCTCCGTTGCCGCCCCTACGCCGTTCCTCCTCTCTCCGCCTTGAATCGCTGCTGCTCCACGACCCCGATTTGCGCAACCGCCACTGCTTCGCTGCTTGGATTTGCGCCACCGCAGCCCCGATTTGCCACCCCTGTCGCCCCTCCGATGCTCCTTCATTGCCGCCCCGAATCGTGCCGCCCCGCTGCCGTCCCCACCGGCGCCGCCTCGATTCAGCCGCCGCCCACTAGTTTTTACATGTTCATTTTGCATCACCTATTGGAGTTGCACCTTTACATCTCCGTTCTGCATCATCTGATGGAGTTGCCCCTTTCTTGGAGATGCAAAAATCATTTTTTGGAGATGCATTTTACATCTTCTATTGAAAATGCTCTTAACAGACTGTTCGTATCGTGGCCGGACTTTGTTTGCTCAGCGGACATAGCGCAGGCGTGAGCAACGGCCCGGTGCCAGGGCCAAGATCTTGTGTCCTTACTAGGCCTAGATCAGATTCCCCTAAATAAAACTAGGCGTGGATGAGAATTGTTGACGTATAAATGAATAACCCACCTTTCTACATCAGCTTGAATTTTTGGGTGAACTGATTGATGCGTGCAGTTTACATTGTATCGGAACCGAGAGCCACATGTGAGGGGGAGTGTGTTGACGTATAAATGCATAGTCCATCTTGCTTCATCAGCTTGAGCTTTTGGATGACTGCGTGAAGTTCTACAAGAATCACGGAAGCAATTTTGCATCTTGTTTTTTTAGAGGAACTTCTCATCTTGTTGGCACACATATTTATTTCTTTTATTAGAATGATCAAACCAAAATTTTGAAACAAACTATCCTCGGAAAAAGGAAAAATTATATCATCGGTCATTAAGATTACAAGGTATTTGCTACATTAGTTAGTTCAAATAATTTCATGATTTAAAAGGTTGAAATCTGAGTTAGTAGCTACATTAAAAAAACAAAATAATGTTTGATTTACATAAATGGTTTTCTATAAAAAACGTTGTATCCAAGCTGTTACTAGTTCCGTCGACTACTTCATCATGAAACAAATGTAATGCAACACATTATTAGTGAAGATTCATGGGACAATTGATCTATATCCATATCAAAAGAAGATAGATCACCCAATATCTTTCATTAAATGTTGAGTGGATCTGCATATGTAATCTAAAGATTTTATACAAAATGTGGATATACTCTCTATATATATCACGTTCTTCACATAACATCCATCTAAATAAGGAAGCACTCGATTTCACTGAAATAACACATTTCCTTGTACCATGGGTTGTGGTTATGTTGTCATATCAATCTTTTTGTGCTTTTCGTTCACGCCTTACTGCATCACTTTGGCTAAATCAACAGATGTAGGTGGCAATTTACAAATGAATAAGAAGGTAAATAAAGTGTATTTTTAGCCTTCGATGCACACAGTCTTGTTCTGTTCCTTATTTATTCACCCTATCCTACTTGATGATTTGATCCCGATGATCAATATTATTTGTAGCGAGTTGGTACTATTCTCTATTAATCATGTGCCAGATTATCAATTAGGACATTTGGTGTCAAAAGAAATACTTGTAGTCTATGAGCTTGATGCAACAATTATGCTACTAGCGAAGAACTAACATTTTTTTTACAGAACACCACTCTTTTCAGGCATATGCCTTTTCCGTTTGTCAAAAATCAAGATGGAGGAGGCAATATTATTTCTCATGTACTCTCTGTCCCTCCCTCTCTCTCCTTCCCTCTCTCTCCTTCCCTCTCTCTCTGGGCTTTTTCGAAGCCAAGCAAGCGCATGTACTTAAATGCCAGAGAAACAACAATAGAATCCACATGCATGATGACCTACCTAAGTCCTAGCCAGTGAAGCTAAATTTTGGTTATTAGTGAGGGAGACAAGGTGCATATTTCAAAAATCATTTATCTCGACACCTGGTTTAGCGATCTTGTATGCTTACTATCAAAATACATTTCTCTACAGACGAAAAATGTATGCATTTTATTAAGAACATATTTCCTAGATAATTAATTAGGAGAAAACCGGATGAATATCAAACACGAGGAGAACCATCTCTTCGTACGGTGGTGGAGTTGGGGAAGGGGGGGGGGGGTACGACTCCACCCACCAGGTTTCAAATCCCGATGCTCATATTTATACTGTATGGATCTCCCATACAAACATTTTATCAAAATAAAACTGCCATATACAAAGACATACACCTAAATGAATTAACCTTGGATCCCAATGTATATTGGATATGAAGTGATGGACACTACAAACAAAATATGCCACGAAAACACCGACAACCAACTAGCTTGAAAAGGAACTTAGGACATGGTTTGTTGGTGACTTGACGTGACAAAAATATGGCAGAATACCATGCACCTCTATATGTGATAGTCAGATCCAACTTTATTCCTCCACAAAGAGGAGAGAAGGCACTTACATCCTTGAAAAGCACCGGAGCCACACCATCTGACCGACCATGCGTTCCAAAAAAAAGTAGTGCACCGCCACCAAAAGTTCCTGTTGCACTGACCTTACACCATGTCAGGCAAGCCAAATCATGAGTAACCTACTGGACAAGATGTCAGGAAAATCTAGATAGCATCCAAATGAGCACGAGGATATCCACGCCATACGACCTCATACCAACTCCAAGAAAATGCACTCACATTTGTTATGCTAATCTTGTTTGCACTGTACAATTTTTTTTGTGTATTCACTAATTTGATATACACTTTATTATTCATAGTATGCTATGTGGCGCACTAGACCAGGAGGATTCTATGGCCTTCGAGCTGAAATTAGTATATGGGGTTCACCAAATCAAGAATACTCTCAAGACTCCGGAGCATCCATACAAATTTATTGTCAAGATGGAGGACACTACAACTTAATTGAAGCCGGGTTTCATGTATAAACATAACACTCATCATCTTAACTCGACCAGGACTACCCAATAAACTGATATTTCAAATTATGCTTTGGCTTGTAGGTATCCCCTTCTTTGTATCATAATAGAGATGTCCGTTTCTTCACATATTGGACGGTAAGTGTAAACTTAAACGTTTAATAGAACATATAGGTACCAATCAAAGTGTAGGTATTTGTACATCGACAAGACTAAAGTTTTCTTCAACCATTTTCCAGAAGGACTTTAAATCAGCGGGCTGCTACAACTTGCGGTGCAAAGGATTTGTTCCTGCAAGTGGAGCTGCACTAGTGCCTGGGCAAGCAGTTACTCCCCCATCAAGTTATGGCGAGTATGACCACTACGTTAGGCTTAGTCCTAATAAGGTGCACCCTTTATCCCGGTTTACATACTAATATACCAGTACATGATTAAATCTGAACATACCGTACATGATTACATTTGAACATACATGGGTGGCCAATAGTGTACTGCTATTTTCTCTCACAACTAAAATCAATAGTGTTTGATTTTATGAATGCAAAATATGGTTATGGGTTAATTCACATAAATGCCTCCACAATAATATGGTATGGTGCTTTACTACTATAAGAACAAGTTAAGGAACTATTTTTTTTACTTCAGGCCAGATTCTTGCTAACTACAACATGTTTCTACTTTCCGTTTGCACGAAAATGGACATCACCCCTCATCGACTATAGGATCCCAAATCCGAAGATTGGGTGGTGTACCGTCACGATTTGCAAACCCCGTCGTTCTTGGGTTATTTTCCAGTGCAACTTTGTTCTGGAACACCGCGTATAGAAGCATTGACTGGATTTGTCAATTACTTAAAAAGTACTCATGGTCCTCCAATGGGTAGTGGTCACTTTCCTGATGAGAAGGATGATGACAAGACAACAGCGTACTTCAGGCATGTTAAGAACTACGACTCCAAAGGTCGCGCTTTCGAACCAGTTACAGTTAATATGACCCCTTTAGTTGACAAGCCGGATTGTTACACGGAAACTGATTTCCTTCCTGGTATCAACAAGGGGTACCATTTTCACTATGGTGGACCAAGTGGTTGTGTTGGTTGAAAGCAAATGTTTGTTTTGCATGTCATAAATAATGTTCTTAATGGCCAAACAACGTCCCTCACTTGTTTATTTTTGCATGCCTATCTCATTTGGTGCTGAGGTCAGCTATCCCAATTTAGTCTCAAGTTTGTTTTTTGGATAATTGGGTTTTGGCTACATACGTATGTGTTAATCAAACTTCAAACTATTGGAAACAAAATACAACCATCGGATAACTAAATTATATATATTTAATAACTTCCAAGTAGAATAAGAGAGCATCTTTTTATTGGCAACTTAAATGGTAAATAGAGTGCAACTAAAATTAGCCACCAAAAAAGAGGCTAAATATCTTGGTAATGCTATTTTAGAAAATATCGTCAAGAGGAAGCTTATCAACAACAACAAAGTAAAACACCTTTTGAGGATTTGTAGACTCTACCATTGGGTCCGGAGGTAAAAAAATTAGAAAATTTGAACTTGAAAATTTTGCATACTGTTTACTGGTATCTAAGCAACTACAAGACCCCATCCACTTGTTTTGTTTCCTTTTTTTTACCATAAATACGAGGCAAAAAACAATGTCCCACAAGGATGTATAGTACCATCGTCAAATAGTCTCTCAAACAGTTAGTTGGAGAACTGATGACCAAAAGCGTAGGATCTGTAATACCTTTCGCCAAAGTATCATCGAAGACATTTTTTATCCAAAGGTCAAACATTTCCCCTTTTCACAACTAGCTTGACACCCGAGCTAGATACACATGCAACCATGTTATCACTCAAAAATAGTCTACTGACTATTGTCTTCTATGAAACTAGATGACCCGTTGCATCCTTGGCGCAAAGACAAATTGCAACCAAGAAGCCACATATCCTATGAATAGCATGTTTTATGAATGATCCGCAAAATGGCAAAAATCAAATGCAACCAATAAGTTAGGTGAGCGATTTGAAGGATGTTGTCCTGAATTGTATGCAGATGATTATGTTCATATTGCTTTTGACTAATGACAGATAACGATGATACTATGGCTTTCTTTGGCGACACATAAGTTATTTGCTTGAACGGGTGAATGAACACTTTGTTTTCTTCTTCATGCTCTGGCTTTTCTTCATTTTGGAATTGTGAAAATAACCGTGAGGTTAAATGGGACTATTACTGCCCACTACAGCCTCACCTACAATGATGATCTGTTACACCCTTTCTGATACGAGCACGCCACGTTAAAAAAAGTTTAGATGGTCATACATCACAAGTTGTGCCCGTATCACGCGCTGATGAGAAAATAGATGACCCATTGCACCCTTGGCGTAAACATAAAATGCCCGGAAAGTAAGGTACACTATTTTTGCTATTTTTTTGCCCACATAAATTGAATATAATAGTACAGAAAAATGGTAACTGTCCTACCCAGTCTATGAAGAAGGTGCGGCGAATATAACTGACCAGGTTTTGTAGATACATCTCGCCCGGTAGCCTGGTGTGCACCCCTCAGCCTTGAGGGCGAATAACGTTTGAGCGGGCCGTTTCCAACACACAATCATGCCTGGCCCCCCTCGTCTCCCGCCTGTTGCCCTTGCCCTGCGTTCTGCCGCTCCCTACGTTGGTAGTGTCCGGGAACACACGGTTGGCTGGAATGTACATCCTCGTCATTTGCGCTTACTGTGTCGAGGTTTGCTCGCTTGATTTATTTTTGGACGCTTTTCTGCTTTTTGTTTGTGCATTATGGTTGATTTTTGTTTGCTGCATGCTGTTGTTTTGTGTGTGTGTGTGTGTGTGTGTGTGTGTGTGTGTGTGTGTGTGTGTGTTCCTGTTGCAGTTTTTACGGTCTATTGTTGGTTTGTGTGCACAAGACGTGTTAATTTTCGTAATCGGTGGCTTCCCGGTTGATTGCCCATTCCCAAATTACCCCAGACCAGGTAGGCCTAAGCTAGATATTCTTTTGAGATGAGTTTCTAGAAAGAAAGGTGCCCCTTGGATAATATGAGCTGTCTATTATTTCTACTATGTTTTCAAAGTTTCAAATCAAATGCAGCCGGAAAGTTTGGTGAAATATTTCTGTTGCTTTCTTGCCGCGCATAAATTGGACCAATTGAATATTTTTTTAGAACCGGGCTTTACCCCTTTCCATTGCATAGAACGGAAATACAACCAGTTCCAACGGGAAAAGTCAGGAGAAGGGAAAGAGGTAGAGCGAGGTCCAGCACTATCAGGAAACCCACTACACTCGCTCGCCATCAAAACGAGTGTCATGGGACGAAAACCTAAGTAGCACAACATAAAGTCTAGCCTATTACATTCTCAAAAGACCATACTAAGGGCAAACACAGCAGCATGCCCGACGGAAAGAAAACATCTCCTCCGGGAAGAAGCAGCAAAAGATAGACGTCACGTGCCAGCCATCTCTTCGGCCACAGCATCTCCGAAGCATCAGGCACCTTGGATCGGTTGCTTGATAGCATCACACATCTTCATCAGCTCCATCGTGCTATCCCTGACCATCTCAGCTCCTGTGCGCAGGTCCCTGGCGTCATCCCCTTGCTGTAGACCTATCTAGTAGAGCAAAAAAGAGCACAGAGAGAACACAATCTCAAAAGGAGTCTTGATTTGTTTATTTTCAAAAGTAGCTTGATTGCGCGCCAACCATATGGCCCAACAAGTGGCCGCTAAGCCCACCGTGTAGAAAGTTTTCTTCCCAGGGAGAAACTTGTGACACCATACGAAGTATTGCCAGTAGTTCGTTGGACATTTATCAGTGCCTAAAACCACCCCAATGGATCGCCAGACTACCCTGGCCACTGGGCATGTAAGAAATAGGTGTTGAGCTGTTTCCACCCCTTTGCAAAAAGAGCAGCAAGGGTTCCCTGGCCATTTCCTTTTTTTCATCACTTGTCTAGTAAGTACCGCGTCCAGTGATAATTGCCATAGGACGATTTTGTTGGAAATATGCCCTAGAGGCAATAATAAAATGATTATTATTATATTTCTTTGTTCATGATAATTGTCTATTGTTCATGCTATAATTGTATTAACTGGAAACCGTAATACATGTGTGAATACATAGACCACAACATGTCCCTAGTGAGCCTCTAGTTGACTAGCTCGTTGATCAATAGATGATTATGGTTTCCTGACCATGGACATTGGATGTCATTGATAACGGGATCACATCATTAGGAGAATGATGTGATGGACAAGACCCAATCCTAAGCATAGCACAAGATCGTGTAGTTTGTTTGCTAAAAGCTTTTCTAATGTCAAGTATCATTTCCTTAGACCATGAGATTGTGCAACTCCCAGATACCGTAGGAATGCTTTGGGTGTGCCAAACGTCACAATGTAACTAGGTGGCTATAAAGGTGCACTACGGGTATCTCCGAAAGTGTCTGTTGGGTTGGCACGAATCGAGACTGGGATTTGTCACTTCGTGTGACGGAGAGGTATCTCTGGGCCCACTCGGTAATGCATCATCATAATGAGCTCAGTGTGACTAAGTAGTTAGTCACGGGATCATGCATTAGGAATGAGTAAAGTGACTTGCCAGTAACGAGATTGAATGAGGTATTGGGATACCAACAATCGAATCTCGGACAAGTAACGCACCGATTGACAAAGGGAATTGTATACGGGATTGCTTGAATCCTTGACATCGTGGTTCATCCGATGAGATCATCGTGGAACATGTGGGTGCCAACATGGGTATCCAGATCCTGCTGTTGGTTATTGGCCAGAGAGCTGTCTCAGTCATGTTTGCATGATTCCCGAACCCGTAGGGTCTACACACTTAAGGTTCGGTGACGCTAGAGTTGTTATGGGAATTAGTGTGCAGTTACCGAATGTTGTTAGGAGTCCCGGATGAGATCCCGGACGTCACGAGGAGTTACGGAATGGTCCGGAGGTAAAGATTTATATATGGGAAGTCCTATTTTGGCCACTGGAAAATATTCGGGATTTTTCGGTATTGTACCGGGAAGGTTCTAGAAGGTTCTGGAGTGAGGCCCACCTGCATGGGGGACCCACATGAACATGGGTAGTGGGGGCAAGTCCCCACACCCCTGGTCAAGGCGCACCAAGATCCCCCTTAGAAGGAATAAGATCATATCCCGAAGGGATAAGATCAAGATCCCTAAAAAGGGGGGATAACAATCGGTGGGGAAGGAAATGATGGGATTTTTTTCCTTTCACCTTTGCCAACGCCCCAATGGACTTGGAGGGCAAGAAACCAGCCCCGTCCACCCCTATATATATATAGGGGAGGTGCATGGGAGCTTCACCCCTTGCCCCTGGCGCAGCCCTCCCCCTCTCCAACTCCACCTCCTCCTCAGTAGTGCTTGGCGAAGCCCTGCCGGAGAACTGCAAGCTCCACCACCACGCCGTCGTGCTGCTAGAGCTCTCCCTCAACTTCTCCTCTCCCCTTGCTGGATCAAGAAGGAGGAGACTGTCACGCCCAATATGTGACCGTATCCAAAAGGAACTCGAAGGTCCCACCAAGGATAGACCCGCATATTGAAACGCTTTTGCAAGGTGGATATCATTACATCAACATTACATAATAGATGGGGATACATACAAGAGGCAAACAATGCCACATGAATACAACATCATCTTACATAAGAGCACCATCCGACTACGGTTGAAACACAAATAGAAGCCCAAACGACATCCACCCTGCTAGCCCAGGCTGCCGACCTGGAACCTATCCCCTGATCGAAGAAGAAGCAGAAGAAGAACTCCAAACAAGCAAACATCGCTCTCGCGTCAAGATCATCGCAAAACTTGTACCTGCAACTGTTGTTGTAGTAATCTGTGAGCCACGAGGACTCAACAATCCCATTACCATGGGTATCAAGACTAGCAAAGCTTAAATGGGAAAGGAAGGGGTAAAGTGGTGAGGTTGCAGCAGCGACTAAGCATGATATGGTGGCCAACATACGCAAATGAGAGCGAGAAGAGAAACAAAGGAACGGTCGTCAACTAGTAATGATCAAGAGGTGATCCTGAACTCCAACTTACGTCA